TGTTTTTTTTTGTTTGTTTTCAAAATCACAAGAAAAAAAAGAAAATAATTAACAAAAAGCAATCAATAAACGAAAGCAAGCAAAGTAAAAAAAGAACAACATAAAAAATAAACGAAAGAAAAATAAATTCAAACTTAAGCAATTGTAATCTAAAGAGATTAAGTTGAAATAAACAAAAAATTAAAAAAAAAACAATTTAAAAGAAAATTATAATAATAGAGCGTTCACATTGCCAACGAAAAAGTTTTATAAGGCAGTAATATCCAAACAATAGCTAGACTGGACTATAAAGAAACAATTGAGCGGATTTTTTTAATAAATAGTTGACAATTTTGGGTTAATTTAAGCCTTAAGTATCTTTCATTCAGAAAAGTTACATTAAATTATTTTAATAGATTTTGCAAATTTTTTTTTCTTTTCGAACATAAAAATTATAAAATTTCTAAGAAAAAATCTCAATTTTTAAATAAAATTTAATTAGGAGAAAATATTTATTATGAAAAAAGTAAAATTCGCCAGTTTTCACAATGTTCGAAAATTCGAACTTAATTTCGAAAATCCAAAAATTAGCCTAAAATGTTCTTAAAAGTCTCAATAATACAATTAGATTTAAACTTGTTTTGAAATGCAAAATATTCTTAAGTTTTTGGATATTCGAACATAGAATTTTATTCAAAGCAAGTTTTTCGTTTTTCGAATATAAAATTTTTGATATTTTCATAAAAAAATCCTTTTTTTTTTAATAAAATGTTAATAGTTCTACCAAAAAAAAAATTTTATAGATACAAGTGAAATTTGTGAGTTTTAACATTATTCGAAAATTCGAACTTAATTTCGAAAATCTAAAGTTTGGCTCAAAACATAGCTTTAAGGTTATATAACACAAATATTACAAAATTTTTAATATGTTACAACCATTTCATACATTTGTCGTTATTCGAACATGAAAATTATCCAGAAAAACACATTTTTTTAATGAATTACTATATTATAATTAATTTTTGTCTAAAATTCGAATTAAATTTTGAAAAACCAAAAATGCGCCCAAATTGTAATAAATTTTAGAAATTCGATCTTAATTCGAAAATTCAAATGTTTAATTTGGAACTTAACAAATCTGAACCATTACTTTTCTCGATATTCTGAAAAGCTCACACAAAAAAAAAAAAAAATTCTTTTAAATAATTTTACTGCAATGTGAACACACTATTATTAAAATTTAATCAAAATAAATTAAAATAAATCCTAAATAATAAAAAAAACAGCTTAAAAACAAAGTTAAAAGTTGGAAAAAAATAACTCACAAAATAAAACATAAACAAACAAAACAGAAAAAAATAATTGATAAGAACTTAATAAATTTCAAACGAGAGATAGAAAGAGAAAGAGAGAGATCATTTAATACCTCTGGGTGGTAAATGGATCATTGGTAGACTGATCTTGCGGATTAATTCTATAAAAGAATAATGAATGAAAACAAGATATTTTTTTACAAGTAAAAAAGAAGATTTAAAGAAAAAAAATAAAAGAAAATTCAATAAAACTTAATAATAATAAAAATAAATAAACTAGACTTATTAAAAAATTAGCAATATAAACTAATTGTTTACACTTTAATATTATTCTTTAAAAAATTAAATAAAATAAATAGAAAAAAAAAACTAATCTTAATATTTATACATATTTTCACAACATTTAATTTGCTGTACAAAATAAACCATTTAAGATTTTTTTAAGTGTATAAAGAAATATTCAAAATTAAATATTGAATAATAAAAGTTAAAATAAATAAGAGTAATGGAAAAAAAGGCAAGGCTTTTTATAGTAAACTAAACATTAAACGAATTTAAATAACAAAACTTACCCGCTATAGATTTACGATCTTCATATTGGATCTTATTAAAACGATCACTTTCATGTACGGTTTTCAAAAAACGCAACGTTGTTGTGGGAAATGATTGTTCCGAAATGGACATGTAACGTGAACGCATTTCTAGAGCCTGTATAATTAAAGTGGAAGCTCGTTCTAAATCCTCCAATGGCACACCACTGGTATCTTCTCCCGAGATGGAGACACGTTGAAAATTTGGTATTAACTCATGCTCAACAAAGTTTATTGCCGGATCGTCGGTAACATCGCCCTGTACGGAGTGTTTATCGGTCATGGCACTGTAAATGGAGGGAAATTAAAAGAATTTTATGTTAATAAAATTGTAGTTTAAAATAATACTTCGAATTTAAAAGAAGTTTAAGAGCAAGAATATCTCCTTTAAACTTCAGTTTAAACTTCGAATTTAAAAGAAGTTTAAAAGCAAGAATATCTCCTTTAACTTCAGTTTAAACTCAGCATTTTTTTCATTTCGAAAATTTCTATTTTCCATTTACTCCTCTATCTAGTAGTCTGTAGTCTAGTTTATAGTCTAATCTATGGTCTAGTCTATAGTCTAGTCTATAGTCTAGTCTATAGTCTAGTCTAGATTAAAAAATTAGCAATATAAACTAATTGTTTACACTTTAAATATTATTTTTTAAAAAAATTAAATAAAATAAAAACCGACGATCCGTCTAGTCTATAGTCTAGTCTATAGTTCTAGTCTATAGTCTAGTCTATAGTCTAGTCTATAGTCTAGTCTATAGTCTAGTCTATAGTCTCGTCTTAGTCTAGTCTATAGTCTAGTCTATAGTCTAGTCTATAGTCTAGTCTAATATTAGAGTCTAGGTCTATAGTCTAGTCTATAGTCTAGTCTATAGTCTAGTCTATAGTCTAGTCTATAGTCTAGTCTATAGTCTAGTCTATAGTCATAGTCTATATCTAGTCTATAGTCTAGTCTATAGTCTAGTCTATAGTCTAGTCTATAGTCTAGTCTATAGTCTAGTCTATAGTCTAGTCTATAGTCTAGTCTATAGTCTAGTCTATAGTCTAGTCTATAGTCTAGTCTATAGTCTAGTCTAAGTATAGTCTATAGTCTAGTCTATAGTCTAGTCTATAGTCTAGTCTATAGTCTAGTCTATAGTCTAGTCTATAGTCTAGTCTATAGTCTAGTCTATAGTCTAGTCTATAGTCTAGTCTATAGTCTAGTCTATAGTCTAGTCTATAGTCTAGTCTATAGTCTAGTCTATAGTCTAGTCTATAGTCTAGTCTATAGTCTAGTCTATAGTCTAGTCTATAGTCTAGTCTATAGTCTAGTCTATAGTCTAGTCTATAGTCTAGTCTATAGTCTAGTCTATAGTCTAGTCTATAGTCTAGTCTATAGTCTAGTCTATAGTCTAGTCTATAGTCTAGTCTATAGTCTAGTCTATAGTCTAGTCTATAGTCTAGTCTATAGTCTAGTCTATAGTCTAGTCTATAGTCTAGTCTATAGTCTAGTCTATAGTCTAGTCTATAGTCTAGTCTATAGTCTAGTCTATAGTCTAGTCTATAGTCTAGTCTATAGTCTAGTCTATAGTCTAGTCTATAGTCTAGTCTATAGTCTAGTCTATAGTCTAGTCTATAGTCTAGTCTATAGTCTAGTCTATAGTCTAGTCTATAGTCTAGTCTATAGTCTAGTCTATAGTCTAGTCTATAGTCTAGTCTATAGTCTAGTCTATAGTCTAGTCTATAGTCTAGTCTATAGTCTAGTCTATAGTCTAGTCTATAGTCTAGTCTATAGTCTAGTCTATAGTCTAGTCTATAGTCAGTCTATAGTCAGTCTATAGTCTAGTCTATAGTCTAGTCTATAGTCTAGTCTATAGTCAGTCTATAGTCTAGTCTATAGTCTAGTCTATAGTCTAGTCTATAGTCTAGTCTATAGTCTAGTCTATAGTCTAGTCTTCTAGTCTATAGTCTAGTCTATAGTCTAGTCTATAGTCTAGTCTATAGTCTAGTCTATAGTCTAGTCTATAGTCTAGTCTATAGTCTAGTCTATAGTCTAGTCTATAGTCTAGTCTATAGTCTAGTCTATAGTCTAGTCTATAGTCTAGTCTATAGTCTAGTCTATAGTCTAGTCTATAGTCTAGTCTATAGTCTAGTCTATAGTCTAGTCTATAGTCTAGTCTATAGTCTAGTCTATAGTCTAGTCTATAGTCTAGTCTATAGTCTAGTCTATAGTCTAGTCTATAGTCTAGTCTAGTCTATAGTCTAGTCTAGTCTATAGTCTAGTCTATAGTCTAGTCTATAGTCTAGTCTATAGTCTAGTCTATAGTCTAGTCTAGTCTATAGTCTAGTCTATAGTCTAGTCTATAGTCTAGTCTATAGTCTAGTCTATAGTCTAGTCTATAGTCTAGTCTATAGTCTAGTCTATAGTCTAGTCTATAGTCTAGTCTATAGTCTAGTCTATAGTCTAGTCTAGCATAGTCTAGTCTAGTCTAGTCTATAGTCTAGTCTAGTCTATAGTCTAGTCTATAGTCTAGTCTATAGTCTAGTCTATAGTCTAGTCTATAGTCTAGTCTAGTTAGTCTATAGTTTTTCTATAGTCTAGTCTATTGTCTAGTCTGTAGTCTAATCTTTTGTCTTGTATGAAAATCACCCTTTTAAAACTTTTTTTAACAAAAATCACACACTTTACCTTCTCTTACCTGTAACCATTGTATCATTACTCTTAAAAAAATGATACAAATCATTTGCGAATGACATTTCTTTTCCACCTTTTCGACGTTTTCACTTTTAAATGCGAGTGTGTAACACAAAGCAATTTCAAATCGAAAGTTAAAATTTATTAACTGTCACTTTTCAACAAACGTTATTTAATTTATACCCGATATCGTGTAAAACTCAGGTGAGTATTTAATTGCGAATAACAACACCACAGAAAACATCAACAATATGAAATCTACATTTATGTATTTCATTATTATATTAATTGACCTTCAAATTCAAATGATAACGAAGAATAAAAAGGAGCAGGGAAAAAACTCAATTGCAAAACAAATTCTTCTTTTCAAATTGCACGCAATTTTCAATTTTATCACACAATACAAGACAACACATGTCCACCTACATTCCCGTTCTTTATTAATTTCATAATTGATATTGAAATTAAGAAAGACCGTTTGATATGAGTTAACAAAACGCGACAATTTCACCACTTAGCGAAAGAAAATTAGATTTCAAAATACATACACCAGTTTTTTTTGTAAAATAGCTTGTTTTAATAATGTTGAATAAAATACAAAATCTCCAAAAACTTCTTATCTATTAAGCAGGACAATTTAAACTAAATATTATTAGGTACTTAAACTAATTAACAAAAAAATATTTCTTATTACTTTCCACTTAGAGCCATTGATTGAAAACTTGCGTGAATTCCACCAAATAAATATCGACTTGAAATGAATAAAAATTTATGATCCAAGTCACTTGTTTTCAAAATACATACATATTTAATCTAATTAGTATGTGTATTCATAGCCCGAACATACTAAAACGTTATTAAGTCATTAACCAATATTGTCTATGATACAACAAACGACAAGTGCGAATAATACAGACAAGTCGTCATTGCCTTTTAAGGATTTTTTATTGTATTGTGCGTATCAGCATTGGAATTTGTGTACTGTAGACAACTGTAGTTCTTACTTTGGACAATTGTACAAAAAATAGTGATACCGTGACTAGTTTTAAAGGGGTGTATTACTTAACAAGTGAACATTTGCTTACAATTTGAAACCATTTTATAAATGTCTCTTACACCCTGTGAATGGCCCATATTAAAGGGGGTTTCATTAGGAATGATTTCAAATTAAAAAAAACTGTCGTTCGTTATGAAACCTTCTTTATTTTAGTTCACTTTGGTAAATAGTTTTCAAAAGTTTATTACTTTTCTCTCTAGTTTTCTCCCGTTCTTTTTCTTAAGAAATCTATCGCGGGACTATAGTTTGAAAACACTGTTTTCAGTGACAAAATTCCATTCTTTTCCATTGTTGTTCCATGTACAATTTATATAATCAAAGATATTGTGCCTAATAAGTTCATTGTCTCTTTAGACGAACCGATCTATAATGATCCAATGGTTTTAAATAAAGTTTAAGTCAGAATATTGTGTTACTCACTGAAGAAAGTGAACATTTGATGCTTCCAAACAATCACCTGGCTACATTTTCGTTTTAGAATACCAAAATAAACGGAATCTCGTCATCTTCCGAAGAAATTAGGTTTTCTATCATACTTTTATAAAAATCTGTCCATTTATTATGTTATTTGACAAATAGGTTCAATACCAAAAAAATCTGTCACTTACTGAGGACGGGTTCGTCTCACGGTAAAGTTTTTCATGTCTGATTCTTTAGTATTTTTTTCAGATTTATCGGAATTGGGAGAGTCTGAGCGTTTTATCAAAGAATCTGACATTAAAAGCTTTACTGTGAGAAGGTCCAACTTAATATGTAGCTATTTGTCAAATAGGTCCAATACCAGAGTAGAAAAATCTATAGTTAACTAAGGAAATAGACTGGTGTGTGATCGTTGGCCTTCTTATGTTAAAGTATTTTATATCTGGCTCTTTAATATTGTGTTCAGATTCATCGCAATATTGACCCAATGGTGAAATTTTCTGTTCTCCGATTAATCTAAACTAAATATTAAAGAATGTGTGAGAAGACCTCTATTCCAAGGAATGGAGGAGCCTCAGCCAAGAGAAATGTACTTGGGTCGATCAAAGAACGATTTGTGGAACAAATGATAATGATAGAAAACTATTTAGGACTTGTTGGACTGTAGAGAGATTATTATGTGGTAATTAATAATGTTCTTTATAACATTCGAGAATTCCCAGAAGATATCTTCCTTTTTGGGCACCACTTTGAGATTTTATTCAGTTTCTCCAACATTTACAAAGTTTATCCAGATGAAATTTATCGATTCCGCTGAAGAATATTAAGTCTTCAGACATCGACTATTTATGAAAAAGATGAAAGTGTTCATAATTGCATTAACTTTCTGTTCTACATATTTCTGAGGACCTCTTTTTGAAAATAATGAATGATAGAAGAATACATAAAATGCATTGGACATGTCTTAGAGGATGTCCCGTCAAAATTATTAAAATGACAGATCAAGATATCTTGGTATACGACTCTTTCTTGAACAGTCTTTAAATATTTGTAAGGCATAGGTCATATTAGACAAATATTTGCCTAAATGCTGATATAAACAATATAAGAAACTATATAAAACAAATCAGATCATATATCTTCAGAAGATACTGTTTTTAAATATATACTTTGATTGTTTTAGACTAGAACTTCTAGAATATATAGACTAAACAAAACACCGATTTTTAAAGAAAATTTGAGAAACGAAAGTATTATATGTATGGGTGATCACGAAATGACAAAGTCCTTCTTCATTATAAAGTTTTAATGAAATTTTGCGACCATAAAAATCGAATTTTGAATTACCTTTAAACTATATCTGTTTTCAACTGAGATGGGTGCTGAGAACATATTGGTGTACATCTTAAGAGTGTCCCCCTCTTACGATATGTATTACTGTACTGAATACAGGAAAAATAAAAAAAATTAAAGTTATTGAAGATCCCGATCTCAGTACAATTTAGCCAAAAAAAGGTTTCTTCTATTCAATCGAAATGGTTCTCAAAAATTCCCTAATTATGAGCTTACTACGGGATAGATAATTGTAATTGTTGTATCCTTGGTCCACAAAAAGACTTTTAGCTTATTATGATGTACTTGATTACTGGACTCGATTTGATCTTTTTTTTCAAAATAGGTTTCAAATTGTTCGTCCTTTGGGATAGGGAACTGAGCACCCTTTCAAAAGTTTTATTTTTTTATATGAGTTAGAGACTTGCGACACTTTAGTGTTAACTGTTATTTCTGTTATACTTGACTAATATGACCACAGCTTACCTTACACTACAACTACAGCTTGTTTTTCCCCAAAGAACCGTGAAAAGTGTACAATGTCAATGTAAATTTTATGCTGGTACTTTCAGTATTTTCCGTTGTACTTGAAAACAATTTAAAAAATTAAGTTATTTTTTTCAATATTTTCAATTAAAAAGCTCTCGATAATAAATCGATTTATATATTTGAATAACATTTTTATACTAATTTCATTAAAAATCATTTAATTATGTTAAAGATTTCAAAAAAAAAAAAAAAAAAAAAAAAAAAAAAAAAACTATTAAATGAACACATTTAAGGTTTTGAACAAAATGTAAATATATAAGAAAAAGGAAGAAATAAATTCGAATAATTGTCACTGTCACAGCATGTGTTAAATATTAAGAAAAAAAAACACCTTGAAATTAATGCTATTAACACTTGTAATTATTTAACAAATTATGCTTATTAATAAATAGCAAACAGAAAAAGAAACCCAAAATTAATTAGAGAAAAAGAAATTATAGAATCAATAGCTATATAGAACTAAATGCATTATAACACTATTATAATGGCAATCAAAAGGCGCTTAGTTTTTGACATACGAAATTTATTTAAATATTATTATTTCTTCTTTAGCGTTATTTTTAAAGGTTTTTTTTTCTTAGTTTTCTTTGACAATATTGTGTGTAGCACGTAAAATACAAGTTAAATGAACAAATGTAACTAACAAACCGCTTGAATGCAAAATTTATACTGAGCAGAATAACTAATTGTATTAAAAAAGGGTGTTTGTTTTCTTCTACCAACAAACAAACAAAAAAATAACAGCAAAAACATCATAGGAAAATAAATAAGTACGCGACACTTTATGCCGTGTCGCACAGTGTTGCGAATAATTGATATAATGATGAAGAGGACATACCCCCCTCCCACACTAACACACAAAACTAATACGTTAGGTGTTTAAAATAATATTGTAATAGTATAATATTTGAAATATAATGTTTTCTGGTTAAAATTTGACCTCTAGAAATTTGGTATAAATTGACAATAAATATGTATGTATGTACTTCATGTTTAAGTGGTTTTCTATTGATGGCAATGATCTTTAAAATTAGGGGAAAAGGGAAATAATTTTATAATTAGTGAAGCAGTTTGGTCAGTGTTCTTAAAAAAAACAAGATTTTCTTTCAAAATTCGATCTTTTAACGTTCAAAATTTATATATCTAATAATCCCTACTCAACTAAAAATCTATATTAAATCTTTGTATAATCTTTGCATTTACTCACCGTACATTAAGCTGTCTTTGAATTTGCAATTTCTTTTCGATTTGCTCAATAGGAAACTGAGGCACTTCATAGGGTGCTGATATCTCATTGGGCAAAACATCATCCGAAGAATTTCATCTATAGCACCGGGTGTTTTAGGCAATTGACCGGCAGCATTGGCCAAAGGAGATCACTTCCTGTTAAGCACAAACAATATTAAATAATTTTATTATTAGTAAAAAAAATATACAAAATTTTAATGAATTTTTCAGTAAAATATATTAATACCACTACTACTACTGCTTATAACAGATAAGGAGCCAAATTTCTGTTTAAACAATTTGTCTTCATGTTGTTGTTCAATTTTATTAAAATCCATTTAATATGTTTTATTTTTTGTCACGGATTTTCGCGTTCTAATCGGTGTTTAAAGCTGTACATCAATAATGCTACTGAAATTTATTTTTTTTTATTAATTTTTAATTAATAAATATTTCAGACAGAAAATCAATAACATATGAATGGATTTTTTTTTAAATTTAAAAAAATTTGCCAGATCAGCAAAAAAATTAAAAACAAGGAGCAAGAACAACCGGAGGAGGGGGGCAGGGCAGGGGAGGCGGGCAGGGAAGGGGGCGCCGGGGGGGAAAGGAAACGGGGCCGGGGGAGGAGAAAAAAAGAGGGGGAAGAAAAAGACGAGAGGGGGAAAGGGGCGAGCGAGCGAGGAGCGAGCGAGCGAGCGAGCGCGAGCGAGCGAGCGAGCGAGCGAGCGAGCGAGCGAGCGAGCGAGCGAGAGAGCGAGCGAGCAGCGAGCGAGCGAGCGAGAGCGAGCGAGCGAGCGAGAGGAGCGAGCGAGAGCGAGAGAGCGAGCGAGCGAGCGAGCAGGCGAGCGAGCGAGCGAGCGAGAGCGAGCGAGCGAGCGAGAGCGAGCGAGCGAGCGAGCGAGCGAGAGAGCGAGCGAGCGAGCGAGAGAGCGAGCGAGCGAGCGAGCGAGCGAGCGAGCGAGCGAGCGAGCGAGCGAGCGAGCGAGCGAGCGAGCGAGCGAGGAGAGAGCGAGGAGCGAGGAGCGAGCGAGCGAGCGAGCGAGGAGCGAGCGAGCGAGCGAGCGAGCGAGCGAGCGAGCGAGCGAGCGAGCGAGCGAGCGAGCGAGCGAGCGAGCGAGCGAGCGAGCGAGCGAGCGAGACGAGCGAGCGAGCGAGCGAGCGAGCGAGCGAGCGAGAGAGCGAGCGAGCGAGCGAGCGAGCGAGCGAGCGAGCGAGCGAGCGAGCGAGCGAGCGAGCGAGCGAGCGAGCGAGCGAGCGAGCGAGCGAGCGAGCGAGCGAGCGAGCGAGCGAGCGAGCGAGCGAGCGAGCGAGCGAGCGAGCGAGCGAGCGAGGAGCGAGCGAGCGAGCGAGCGAGCGAGCGAGCGAGCGAGCGAGCGAGCGAGCGAGCGAGCGAGCGAGCGAGCGAGCGAGAGCGAGCGAGCGAGCGAGCGAGCGAGCGAGCGAGCGAGCGAGCGAGCGAGCGAGCGAGCGAGCGAGCGAGCGAGCGACCGAGCGAGCGAGCGAGCGAGCGAGCGAGCGAGCGAGCGAGCGAGCAGCGAGCGAGCGAGCGAGCGAGCGAGCGAGCGAGCGAGCGAGCGAGCGAGCGAGCGAGCGAGCGAGCGAGCGAGCGAGCGAGCGAGCGAGCGAGCGAGCAGCGAGCGAGCGAGCGAGCGAGCGAGCGAGCGAGCGAGCGAGCGAGCGAGCGAGCGAGCGAGCGAGCGAGGGAGCGAGCGAGCGAGCGAGAGCGAGCGAGCGAGCGAGCGAGCGAGCGAGAGAGCGAGCGAGCGAGCGAGCGAGCGAGCGAGCGAGCGAGCGAGCGAGCGAGCGAGCGAGCGAGCGAGCGAGCGAGCGAGCGAGCGAGCGAGCGAGCGAGCGAGAGCGAGCGAGCGAGGAGAGAGCGAGCAGCGAGAGAGAGCGAGCGAGCGAGCGAGCGAGCGAGCGAGCAGCAGCGAGCGAGCGAGCGAGCGAGCGAGCGAGCGAGGAGCGAGCGAGCGAGCAGCGAGCGAGCGAGAGCGAGCGAGCGAGCGAGCGAGCAGCGAGCGAGCGAGCGAGCGAGCGAGCTCGCTAGCGAGCGAGCGAGCGAGCTAGCGAGCGAGCGAGCGAGCGAGAGCGAGCGAGCGATCGAGCGAGCTAGCGAGCGATCGAGCTAGCGATCTATCTATAGCGATCTAGCTAGCTAGCTATCTATCTATCATCTATCTATCTATCTATCTAATCTATCTATCTATCTATCTATCCATCTAACATTTTCAATCTTCCCCCTTTTGCTTACCATTAGCCAAATCCAAATGTAATGGTGGTGTTTTTGGTGAGCGCGGATTGAAAGCATCAGCCATCTGTATATCCATAGATTCCAGCGAATCAGAAGCAATTAAAAAGCCACGAGCACTCATGCTGATGCTTTTTTATATTATTTTAACACAATTTTCTTCAAATGTTTTATTTTTTTATTACTTATCTAAATGTTTTCTTTTAATAATATACTATAGATCTATAATAAAAATAAAATTTGCAACAAAAATATTATAAATTTTGCCAAATTTATACACAATTTACGTCACAAAAATGCGTTGTCGGTCGTTGTACAGTCAGTACGGACACATTGAGAATTAAAAGTGCCATCAATTATTTGTAGTCGACCTAAATTGCAATTCAGACAGTTGTAATTTAATGAAGAAATTGCAGTGACAGATCGCAAGTGTGGTCGTTTTGAGTGGGTTTTGTTCTTAAAATATTTTGCAGTTTATTTATTTGGAATCTATGGAAAAATATTTGCAAAATTTATTAAGAATAAAAATAAGCAAATAGATAGATGAATTATGCTTAAGGCAGCTGTATATGAATTTTGCTTTTATAGACAATAAAACATTTTTGTTTTGCTATGCAAAGATTCGCATATTAATATAAATATTGGTAGGGGGCAATAAATTATTTCACTACGATAAGAGTCAAATCTTATCAGTGGGTTTTATTTTTTAAAAATTAGATTGTTATTTATATTAGTAAAAAATAGAGATTAAATTAGGAAAAGAGAGAAAATAATTAAAGGTGTACATTATTAACCTTAGTGTTACCAGACCAGACTTTATATAGTATGTGTGTAAATTTTGAATGAAAATATAAAATTGCATTTAACATAGACTGGACAATAGACTAGACTATAGACTAGACTATAGGCTAGACTATAGACAAGACTATGGACTAGACTATAGACTAGACTACAGACTAGATTATAGACTAGACTACTGACTAGATTATAGACTAGACTATAGACTAGACTATAGACTAGACTATAGACTAGACTATAGACTAGACTATAGACTAGACTATAGACTAGACTATAGACTAGACTATAGACTAGACTATAGACTAGACTATAGACTAGACTATAGACTAGACTATAGACTAGACTATAGACTAGACTATAGACTAGACTATAGACTAGACTATAGACTAGACTATAGACTAGACTATAGACTAGACTATAGACTAGACTATAGACTAGACTATAGACTAGACTATAGACTAGACTATAGACTAGACTATAGACTAGACTATAGACTAGACTATAGGCTAGACTATAGACAAGACTATGGACTAGACTATAGACTAGACTACAGACTAGATTATAGACTAGACTACTGACTAGATTATAGACTAGACTATAGACTAGACTATAGACTAGACTATAGACTAGACTATAGACTAGACTATAGACTA